TAGTGCGAACGCAAATTGTATTTGAATCTTTTAAAACGAAGTTATCTTTAAAAGATGCTAAATAAATAGTTTAGCGAGACTCTTAAGGTGATCGAGCGGCTTATCTTTAAGCTAATACTCCTTTCCGAATATAATCTAATATAAGAATATATACGTATTAGTTCGCTAAAAGACATCTTGCGAAAAATGTCTACCGAGGATTTCGATGATTTAAATAACATCGTAACTTCGCTAAAGCGGAAGAGAAGTCTATACGACTCTTTCAATCTCTATAATTTAACGCTATTAAATGCGTATGAGCCGAAAGAAAGAATATAATACTCGAAACGCCGTATTCTTAGCGATTTCTTTTATTATTAAACTTCAGTTTAAACCTTTAAAAAGAGGTACGAGAGCTGTCTACTCTTATTAAAAGCGAAGCGCGTTTGTATATTGCTTAAGTAATAAGCGGCTCGACGCTCGTAGCGCTAAAAAGCGTTAGTGCGATAACGTCGGTGACGAGTAGCGAAGGTAGTAATAACGCTTTCGCTAACTAATAGACGCCGGCTATATTATATTTTAATAGATTTTAATACGATCTATCGAGACAAGAATACAAGATAAGAACAAAAAAGGTTAAAGGGCTTTAAGAAAGTGAAAAGTTCAAACCTTTTCTTTACCTTAACTTTTAACTTTAAACTTAACCTAATCCTAACCTTAACCAGAACTTTAACCCGGACCTTGGTTTGAGCTTACCTTACTACACTAGTCAGCCTTGGAAACTTCACGTGGTCGTTGCTTACGGAGACTACCTTAAGAAAAGAAGACTTACGAAAAAAGCGAATACCTTTCGGAGTATTTACGAGACTTCTTCGGAGACCTTCGAGAAGAACTTATTTTAAAGGGTCTCGTTAGCATTACCAAGCAGAACCGTAGAATCACTCAATACAAAAGGAAAACTGACCTAAGAAAAGAAGTAAAGCTCACGATAAAAACGGCGCAATACTTTCGATAAAAGGAATGAGAAGCGATAATCAAGAATCTCGCCTTTTGCATACTACTATAGTATATAATAGAAAGGGATATCGGGTTATATATATAGACCGTAGACTTAATAGCATCGCGTATATACTTTCGCTTATCGTATCCGGCTACGCCGCAAGGTTTACTCGGAACGTCAAAATTAAAGTTTTGCACTTTGCTAACTAAGTGCACAGCTTACTTTAGCGAGGTATTTAATAGACTTTATGCACGCATATATGCGCGCATGCGCGCATATATACACGCTTATCGTCGTATTAAATATACGAAACCTTAGTGTAAACACCCTGCCTGATGGGGTACCTGCCATGGCCACTAGGGCCACACTAGACGGACCCATCTTTTATAAGAGGGCACACATCTTTTAGCTAAAACAATTAACGAGCTTTCCACTTATCTTTTTTGACACTTCTTTTGTGAGACCATAAGGTTTAGCCTCAGAGTCAAGCTTTTATACAGCATATCTTTTTAGGTGCTTTTATATTAGTGATTTACGTAAGGATTTAAACCTTTGGTCTTTGTCTTTATATAGCTTATTATAATCGCTTGATTCGCAGTCAAGTTGATCTTCGTTCATTATTTAGCACTTCATTTTATAATTACAACTTCAAAACAATCGAAACCCTTTTTCCGATAGGTTCGGACACCGAAACGCCGAAATGGCCGAAGTGCAATATTTCGGCTCCCCGGCAAAAACTTTCTTCTATTGTTAATAAGAAAGAATTTTCACTTATTAGTGAAAATACTTTTTTATACCTTAGCTTTTATCTTGAATTAAAGCAATTGATATGGTCCGGAGTTATTAGCGAGGCTAATTAATTGATTCTTAGGTTTTTTATGGTTTTGATCTTGATTATTAGTTTACTTTTGTAAAGGGTCTACTCTTTTTAATTTCGGATCGAGAATACCTTGCGAAAGTCATTTATTTGGCCCGTAAACCCGGTTTACGAGTTAAAATCAAATAATTTAAAAACTTTTCATCAACCCGATCATTCTTAGCATACATATATGTTTGATCTTTAGAATACCGAAAACCTTTTTAAGATTTTTGATATCGAAGTCGGCGCCGCGTCACTTCTTTCTTCGTCAGAATCCTTTGAATTTATTAAATCCCTTGGTCGTATTCTTGTAAGCTTCGGACCAGCCTCATCTTACTTCGACTCTTAACCAGAACCTTTACTTTTATTTCTATCGGAAACACTTGCTCCGGAAATGCTTTCTAAAATGAATACCGGTCTTAAGATCTATACCACTCTTTCTCCTCTTACTCCTCTTGCTCCTCCACTAGGCCTTGCGCCAGTTATGGTCGACCCTGCTATCTTCTACGCTTTTATGACTATTCGCATGCTATTGCCAAGTACCTCAAAAGCTCTTTGCTTCAGTGGTGCTAATATCACCGACTTTATCGAGAAGTACGAAGAGATTTATAAAGACTTTAGTATCTTTCAAGACGATCGGTTTGCTAAACTCTTTCGTTATTGCGATAACCTTCGCAAAAAGGTTATTAAAAGCTTGCTCGAATAGAAAGCTAAGAAAGATTAAGCTGCTTTCGTCAAGGCTTTAAGAGCCGAGTTTCGTGAAAACGATATTTAGCAGATCAGGGACTCAATCGCTTTTTTGCGAGAATTTGCTATGTAAGAACGGGATATCAATGACTTGAAAAACTATTATCGCACTTTCTTTCGAGTTTCCGAAAGACTTATTTTAATACACCTTTTGAGCAAGATCGAACAAGGCCGCTTATTCCTTTTCGGATTGCTCGTTAGAATCCGAAACAAGACGATCAAGCATTGTAAAGTCGACGAGCTCGACTTAGACTCTTATGCCGCTTTCGACGATTTCGTCGCATTCGCTTTTAAAACCGACTAGAGTGCTAAGATTATCGAAGCTATGAATCGAAAGAAGTCTCTTTTAGCTAACTTTATTAAAGATATTCGGATCTTGATTAAAAAACATACCGAGCTAGCTAGCGTTCTTGAGTCTATTAAGAAAGCTTTAGTAGTAGTGCCGTTCACCCGTGAACTACGGTTTACGAGTGAAAAAAAAGGAATTGATAAAGTAGGTTCTATAATTAAGAAGTTTTTTAACTTGTAGATCGGTGCGATCTATAATCGAATTGATTACTTCGAGGACTAAGTCGTTAACTTAACTTCTCGACGCCTTGTCTAGTCTTAGCCTTAAGTTCGATTCGAAGACTACGACGAAGCTTTTATTAAGTATACCGCTTAAGATGCCCGAAGTAAAGTCAGCTTCGGAAGTGGAGTTCAAATTGCTGCTATCGGCTACGGATCATAAAAACGAGGAAGAAGAAGAGGTAGAAGATACGAGAACCAGATACAAGACTATAGCTTTTGCGAGAACTCTAAGGACATAACCCAGGTTCTTTATTAATATCGAGATGAATGTGAAGCTTTTAAGGACATGGTTAATAAAGGATATATTTATATCAGTGATTACGGACGCTTTTGCTTAAGACTTAGGAAGATCGGTGCCCTTATCATTTAGAAGAAGCAAGGAAAGACTTAATTCAGATCTATCGTGCTAGACGTTCGTAAGACGGAATACGACAACATTTTAAAGAATCGACTTACTAGCGGACCTAGGACTTATAGACATTTGCTCTCTCATTAGTAACCAATCTAACAGCTAGCTTAATATTAGCTCGATTAAAATGCTCAGCAACTAACTAACTAGCTAAGAGAGCTTACCATTATCTTTAAAAGACCAGTCGATATTAAGAACATTAATGTTGTAGGATAGATCAACACGCTTAGCTACTTATCCAGTATAGAGGTTGCTTCGGTCGAGATTAACGCTGCCGTAAGAGACAAGGCCAAAAAGCCTTTCCCGCCTTCGGAAAGATCCAAGCCTACTAGGATCAAGAAGAATGTCCGACAACAAAGAGAGAAGAACTACGGCACTTTTAAGGCCCGCGCTTTTCAAGAGTCGGGTACTATTGTAAAGATAGACTTAAAAGATAAGTTGTTCGATAGTGTAATTGAAGAAGAGTCTTCTAGACCTTCTAGACCAGCTAGAGCCGACGAAGCTATAGAGGATATGGAAGAAGAGGTTGAGATCACTTAGCGAATGCTAGGAAGAAAAAAGAAGAAGACTTACAGACGAAAGAAGTTCATTGACCTCTACGTTACTACTAAAGCTTAAGAAAAAGCAATGGCGGCGATTATGAAATCGAAAATCGAAGTCTAGATTAAAGACTTGTTCGGATTCAGCTCTCGCTTCGACAAGCTACTAAGCCACTATATTCCAGTGGTCCCCGATGCTAAAGAAAACGTGGAGGTCCTTCAAGGTAAGCCTATTCTTGTGAACGCCTTAACTGTTGGACGTCTAAGTCGGAATGAGGAAAGTAAGCTAGACCTTTTAGCGACGTAAATTCGCAAACAACTTATCGCCCGCAATTGCTCCGAAGTAGCGATAAAAACTTTAAAGGTTTTCATTAATATCGACGATATAATTAAGAGCAGATCCTTTTTCGATAATAAGTCTGAGGTTAACGTGATGAACAAAGAGGTGGCTGAGATAGCTAAATTACTTATTATAACGGATCGAGCTTTGATTTACACCACCGTGTCCGGAGATCTCTACAACTTCGATAGATAGATAAATGACGTCGAAGTTATTATCGGCGGAATCATTAACTACGCCGATTTCTTTATTATTAATAATAGCAATTACGAAGTTATCTTGGGCATGCTTTTCTTCTTAGAATCCTAACTTTCTTTTTCTTACCCCGATAATAGCACGATGAAGGCCTTTTTTTGGAACTACGATCGATTTACCCAGGAGCAGATTATTATTGCAAGGGATAAGTCGGATTTAGTCGAAGACCCGGGAAACTAATCGCTAGTATGCAAGCTAAGATGGATGCTAGGCTGGAAAGAAGCTTAGAAAGAAATTCCGCTTGTGAATTATAGTTTACGAGTAGATCGGCACAAAAACGATAAAATCACAAAAAAACAATTCAATTTAACATTAAGCAAGATTTATTAAAATCAAAAACATTAAAAATATTTGCAATTAAACTCGATAAATCGGAAAATTTCATGTTTATTATCGACAACGACAAAGACCTTTTAAAAGGGAATGTGGTAGAGGTTAATACGATATACAAAAGGAAGGCGGAGAAGGTCAGACCGATGGATTTAAGAGTGTCGAATAGAAAGATACTTGGAGGAATCGACGATTAGTTTAAGCAAGATAAGAAAGCGAGACTTCTTAGACTTAGAAGACTATTTTCGGAATACTTTACTAGCAGGTTTTCAAACTTAGAGGTTGGATCAAGATTAACGAAAGAACGATTCGAGGCATTTACGATTAGCTTTCAAGTTATCCCGGAAGAAAGAGAGCTGCTTTACTAATGCTTTTTGAATCGAGAAGAAGCGATAGCTTAAGACTTTACTTATCTTGGCCAAGTCCGGAAAGAAGTCATGCCACTTTAGAAGATTAAAACGGTGCTTTACGAAGCTTAGCAAAAGAAGACGTTTACGATACCGAAAGCTTTGCAGAAGATGGTCATCTTTATGCTAAAGGAACGATTAAAGCAAAAGGTCCTCGAACCATGCTAAAGCCTTTATCGGAATAAGTAGTTCATTATAGCAAAGAAAAAGAAAAGAAAATACAAGCTGATTACTACCGTAATTAAGATGAACTATATAACGGTCAAGGACGCTAATATTGCTTCGAACGTAGATTAGTTTTCGAACGAATTTGCCGGTCTTACGATAGCTACACTCTTGGACTTCTTTTTTAGATACGATCAATTCCTTTTCGACGTTAAGTCTAAGGATATAATAGCTATTCAAACGCTTATCGGACTGCTTCGGATGACTCGGATACTTATAAGAGCTATTAATTCGATCGCTTAATTTATCAAGGTCATTTATAAGATCTTTATAGATTGCATTCTTAACGTTTGCTTGCTTTATATAGATAACGTAAGAGTCAAAGGATCGCGATCTTTTTATAATTACGAGGAAGTTTTACTCGGAATTCGACGATTCGTTTTAAAACATATTTAAAACATCGATAAAGTACTCGTGAGGTTTAAAAGAGCTAAGACGACCGTCGGAACTAAGTCTTAATATTGCATGCTCGGCCTTAACATTGTTAGATTCGTCACGGATAACGAAGGACGCTACTTTTAGATCGTCAAAATTAAGAAGATACTAGAATAGATTAAGTGCGAGGATGTATCGGAAGCCCGAGCTTTTATTAAGATCGTAGTTTATTACAGAATCTAGATCAAAAACTTCTTTACAATTGCTGCTTTAATCTACGCGACTATAAGAAAGAGGGTCGAATTCGAGTGGTTAGAGCCTCAGCAAGAAGCGATGAAGCTGCTTAAGGAAGCCTTGCTCTTTGCTTCCGCTCTTATCAAGATCGATTATAATAAAGACGGAAAGAAAATTTACTTGACGGTAAACGCTAATCTTAAAGGATAAAGAGCAGTATTGTAGCAAAAAGATTCCGATAAAAAGCGACATCTTGCTAGGTTCGAGAGTAGTCTTTAAAACTTTACGAAGAGCAAGTACGACGCGATTAAGCGAGAATGCCGCGGTGCTTTAAAAGCTATGAAAAAGATAAAGAGCGAACTATACGAGGTTCACTTCATCTTAGAAACCGACGCTAAAGTATTAGTTGATCAACTTAACGGATTAACGAGCGATTTGCTTAATGCTTTCGTTACGAATTAGATTGCGTAGATAAGATTAATAGACTTTGAAGTTAAGCATATCCTTAGGACTAAAAACACGGCGGCGGACGGTCTTTTTAAGAAGAGAAAAGAGCATCTTTCAAATATTAAAGAAAAAGAGAAGAAAGATATTAACGATTGAGTCATCAACGAGCTAAGCACTGTTTTAGTATTCTCGATTAAACGACTCGTGAATTATAGTTTACGAGCTAAAAAGAGAATTTTAAAGCACGATTATTCGCTCGACTCCGAGCTTATTACTTAATTCTTTATTACTTTTAAACGCTCTTTTTCGATTAAGACTTACGACTTCTAGAAATTCAAAAACAAAGCACTCAACTACTTGGTTAAAGATAGTTACTTTTATAAACGAGCAGACAATTCTTACTCGATCAAGCTAGTTATCGACGGAACTTAAAAACGCTACATTATTATTTCCGACGCTCATCGAAAATCCGGATATAAAAAAGCCGAGTCAACTTATTACCGCACGTTAAAACTTTTCTTTTGGAATAGATGCTACGAAGATTGCAAGGCTTTCGTTTAAAGCTGTGAGCTTTATCAGAAGCGCAAAGCTAGACGAACGGAAAACCTTTTGTACTTGACTTAGCTTACTTAAATATGGTTAAAAGTTAGCTTAAACGTGTCACGAATTCCTACTACCGACAAAAGAATAACTTGCTTCGTATTAACTAAAGAAGATTTATCTAAATAGTTAAAAAAGCGATCACTTCGATCGGCTAACGCCGAATCTATTGCTAAGTTCTTTTAAGAGGATATCGTTTGCCGCTATAGACTATTCGGGAGACTGATTATCGATAAAGGACTTAAGAACAAGGCAGTTGCTAAGGCTTTCGCTATTAAGTACGGAATCAAGAAGGTCTAAATCTTAAGTTACAATTCAAAGGTTAATAGAATGATTAAGAGAGGCTATAAAGACATTTTAGATGGCTTATCGAAGGTTACAAACGGAGGATTTAAGGATTGGGTTCGCAAATTCAATAGGATGCTCTTTGCGATCCGGACATCGATACACGCACTTATTAGAGTCACCCCTTTTTTCTTAAACTACGGACGAGAGGCTGAGCTACCTTTGGAATCACGATAGCCAGTCTAGAGATTATTGCTATAACAAAAGGTTCGATCCCGCGCTGACCTACTTGCTATAAAGTTTAAACAATTGGAACTCCGAGACGAAGATATCGACGAGATTATCTTAAAGAAGAAACGCTATCGACTTGCCGTTAAAGCTACTTAGGAACGAATTAAGGTCTTGAAGTCGGAACTTATTAAAGAGAAAGACTTGGTACTCTTTTACGACGTCAAACGAAGCATCGACATGTCCGCGGATACTAAACTGGATTATAAGTGGCTGGGACCTTATGTCGTCTTTAAGGCTTACGATAAAGGATATTATAAACTCTAGGAAATCGATAGGATTGAGCTCAAAAGCACTTTTGCAGCCAACCGCCTTAAACGATTCTACCGCCGCGATCAAACCTTCTTTCTCTTTGATAAAAACGACGAAGAAGAAGAAAAAGAAGATTCGGATTCTTCGGACAACTTAGACTTTAGCGAATACGAGCCTTCCGACGACGGCAAAAGTGAACTACTTAACCTAAAGGTGACCTTTAGACTCAAGTCCATTAACTTCCAAATCATTCCCTTAACACTCTCGAAAGAACAAAAACTAGCTTACAAAATTGTTTCTTAGTCTGTTTTCTTTTACTTTGTTTTTTTCTTACTTTCGTATCTTTTCCTTGTTCTACACTTATTTTATAAGGGGACGTGCTCCTAATGATCACTTTCTTTGTTTTAGTAGGGAAAGGTATTTCTTACGTTTATTCTTTTACCTTTAGACCTGCCTTTTATTGTATTCTCTGTTTTTTCTTTATTCTTCTCACCTTACTAGCTATTCACTTGTCTTATATAGATTGTTCTTATTGTTTGATTGTTTTTTATCTGTTTAGGCCTATACGGCTATTTCTTATTTCTTATTCGAGACTGTTCTCTTGTTTTAAGCGTGCTTAACTACGTGTATTCGAAAGTGAACTGCTGTTAGGAAAAGTAGGTCTTCTTCACAAATGTACCTATATAAGAAAGCTTCCTCCTCCTTCTTTTCAACATTTTCTTTTTTTATACAATAACAACTATAACAACACCATTACCACTCTCCCTCTTCATAACCACATAATACCATACCAATACTAACGACCTTAATTATCACTCAGTCAATCACCACCATTATCAGCCTTATTCCGCCATCTTATGTTTAGCTCGTGAACCGTGGTTTACGAGTCAAACATGCCTTCTAAGTCAGCCGCCGCCAAAGGAAAAGCCCTTGTCCGTGATGCACTTTCTAGCCTACTAATAAGCGAAGAGCAAGCCGCTCTAGCCCGACAATCGAGTTTCGAGCTGAAGTTCGAAAGACGAGTCACCAAGACCTTCGATGAGTTCCTTTAGACTTACCGTTAAATAAGCAATTTTAATCAATTAGCTATGCTTAAAGTAGCAACCTCCGACTTTAATAACAGATTGGGTAAAGAAGACGACCTGATCTTGCAGTACGACTAGTTTTTGCGAGCCGAATGCGCAAGAAAGAATATAGACGCCGAAGACTTCTTTTCGGCTTACGACTAGTTTATTATTAGAGTTACCGCTATCTATTCCTTACGTAACAAAAACGCCGAAAGACACAGACGAATCAAGAGAGCTTTCGACGGCGCTCGAGGCCAATTGCTGTATGACGACCACCTTAAGGCTATGTGCACCTTAGTCCGCAGCGCTCGCTAATTGAGCGTTATTTTAAAGAACTGTACCTTTAACGCTTACGCTATCCAAGTCATCAACTACTATATTATTGCTTACGTCGCCTTTTAGAAGACTACAGCCAATGTAGCCCGAGGACGCAAGTTCATTAAGCTTAATGCTACGGTAGTCAACCTTATTTGCTAGACCGTAGAAGACAAGAACAATACCAAGTGGAAGGATAAGATCGCTATTCTTAACGAAGGACTCTTGAAGAAGCTGGGACTAGAGGTCTTATTATATAGCCTGTTGATTTTGGCTCCCGATAATATTGAGAGCGGATACGACGAGCTTGAAGAACGTATAGAGTTTGCCGACGAGAATCAGACTTAGAATTTCGTTTTGCAAAAGGAACCCGAATCCGAAACTCTACTCGTAAACTATAGTTCACGAGTAGAAGATGATTCAGTAATTAAGGCAAGACTAAGTCAACCTTTTGCTCTTAAGACCCTTTTGCTTAAATCACTTATTAAGCGCCTTTCGCTGTTACCAGCCTTGTTTCAAAGATCGACGTCATCTTTTGCTAATAAAGCCCCGAACGTTAAACTAGTTGCTTCGATCATGTCCACTTTACGCAAGTCCACCGACGCGAGCTCTTTTGCAGCTTTTACACCCGAAGTGCAACGCGACCCTCTCGAGAACCAGCTGCCACCAGCACTACTCGTTAAAAAAAGAGACAGCTTCGAGTACGAACTAGCTAAAGCTATGTCGAACCGCTGCTTAAGACTCGTCGAGATTAAGAACTTTATAAGTATGAACGTGGCCTTTATCAACTTTTGCCAAGACTTTTATTAATCAGCTCTCGACCGCCTGAACTTAGACGAGAATATCGATAATGCTTTTTAAGTTGCCGCGGAATCGACCAAGAAAGCTGTTAACTAAATCCGCAAGCTTTTAAAAGACGAATTTTCTAACAACGCGATCTTACGACTTTTCGACCGTCGTAACTAAGTGGGGGTAAGTAAGGAAAGAAGCAAAGTAGTAAATTACTTTTTGCTATCCGAGATCTTTAATTTAAGCTTTAACGACGACGATTGCGATTGCATAAAGGTCTTTTAAGAGGTAAAGAACGTATTAGAATTTAAGGATAAATTCAAAGAACTCTTTGATTTAGACGTCCAAACGAAGCTTTACTTTAGCCGCAGAGTCTTACCGTCCGCTACCGACTTGTCAAAAGGAGTCTTTTGCGAAGTCTATACCTTCGAATACGCCAAATACTTTAGGCTAGCTACGAAAGGCTTTATAATAACGGTGATCCGTTCTAACTTATGTCGATTCATCGAAGCCTTTTAAACCAACGCTTTTAATAACTTTATGCTTTACTCGAGCAACTAATCGATGTTCGCCACCAAGACTAAAGGCAGTACTTTAGCTAAGAGAATGTCTAGCTTAAGCTCTTCCAAGTTCAAAGCTAAGCCGATGTTTCTTAATAAGCTGAACTAAAGCACTAGCTTGATGGGCACCGCTTAGAAGAACAGCCTTTTTAATACTATAGATGCGGGTAGCTATACGAAAGTTTAGCTTATATTAAGAGCTTCTTTTTTAAATAATAAGCACGGCAACCAAACCTTCTTTACTATCATGAACAAAGAGATCTAGATGTACCTCTATTACTTTCGGACCAGTAATTCAAGAGAAGCTTCGACTGGTACACTTTCTAATATAGTGCACTCTTTGACCTAGCAAATTCTTCGAAGCTATCATAAGCTGTACTTTGCCGCTTTACTTAATCGCCGAAACGGAAACTATAAGCTCATCGCTTATCCGGAACCCTTTTAGCTCTTTAAATGCAATAATAATGTTCGAGTGATTGCAACCAAACACGACGCTGATATTAAACGACCCGTGAACCGTGGTTTACGAGTAGAAGATAGAGTTTTAGATTACTATTTAGTGCTTTACGGCGTAAAAAATCAGATCGGAAGTTTGAATATTTAACCTAAGAGCCACACTTACGACATTACCCTTAGAAAGACCGCTCGATAAAAAGCTTTTAAACCTAAGTCGAAGACCTTAGATGCTTTCAAGAACATTGCGCTACGCTAACCTTTCGCTACGGTTATAGATCTCGCTATCTTTATGTCCGTTATTACGAAACAAAGTGTTTTTTTAAATATAGACGCTTTTTAGAATTCTCTTTGCGGATAGGCTATCTTCTTTAACAACTACACCGCTTTGCTAAACGATAGCACCTTAGAAAATAGAGTTAGCTTTGCAAAGCACGCTTATACTATCGTCTTGAGACGCATGCCGCTAACCCTTCGGTAGAAAGTCATTAATAAATCAAGCTAGCCCTTCGCCGCCATAATCTAGCTAGACTACGTCAGTTTCGTATCAGAAGCTTTGATCGGAAGAATAGATTAGAACGAACCTCGAGTGGTAAAGGAATTGATCGCTATCTTTGCTATGTTCCGAACCTAGTTCTAAGAACACTTTATTAAGCATAAGAAGAAGTTGTTTTCGGCATTTAAAAAAGGATTTGCTGTTATGCTAAATGCGAAAGCCAAGACTTACGGAGCCAAGTCCTTTTCTAAAGGCAAGAGCCGCCGAGCTGACGACCTTATGGACGCCGACAAGTTGAAGGACTTTAAAGAGAGCTTGCGACCGATTGAGTTGTCTTCTAACGATTTCGATTCAAGTGTAGAGATCAATCTAGAAAGTACGAAATCCACCCGTAAACTACGGTTCACAGGCCAAATCGACGATCTTAAAGCATCATCTTCTTAGCCGGAATCCTTAGACCGCGCATTCGATGAGGCTATAGAAGCCTTGGCTGATTTGGTCGAAGACGAAGACGACCCAACCAGTGGCTCCGGACCTTATTTTGGCCTCGCTGACCCTCCGTCGGCCAAGTTCACACCTATCAACGACGCAGCCGGCAGCAAACGCAAGAACGACACGCGCTCCTTCACCTTTAAGGATGCTGCTACTAGCACTTCATTATCCAATGCTAGCCTAGCCAAGAGAAGAAGACCTTCCCAGCCTGAGGAGAACGAAGGAGTTGAGGACGTGAGTACGGAAGGAGACCATGAGGAAGCCGCCGAGGCGTAGTTTGGATGTTTGGAGTTTGGAGACAAAATACCCCCCCTTCTTTTTGTATACTAGATTTTTTTTCTTTTTCTTTTACACCCCTTTTGTTCTTCTTGCTTGATGGTAGGCGGGGGCGCCTACCTATTCTATAAGAGGACGGATGTAAACACCCTGCCTGATAGGGTACCTGCTATGGCTACTAAGGCCACACTAGACGGACCTATCTTTTATAAAAGGGCACACATCTTCTAGCTAGAACAATCAACGAGCTTTCCACCCATCTTTTCTGACACTTCTTTTGTGAGACCATAAGGTCTAGCCTCAGAGTCAGGCTTCTATACAGCACATCTTTTTGGGTGCTTCTACATTAGAAGGCCGCGCGTCTAGTTTAAGTTTACGCGATTAATATAACTCGAATCCTTCGATATTGATACACCTGCATAAATCCTTCAGATCGAAGACTAAGGTTTACGGGTGAGCAAGGGTATTGATTGTATGACTTACTCGGCCTATACCGAGCTTACGCCGAAGCCTAGGTATATAATACCTAGCCGCCGTACGAGTCCTTAAAGAGCTAAGCGAAACAGTTTGATTCTTTGCAACTGACTGTCGGACTCCTACTCTTCTTGATTTCAATCTGCCTTCCAGCTACTCCCTAACCCTAACCCTAACCCTAAGTGTGGATGCTATTGAGTAAAGAGCACGCTGCTACTTATTATAATACCGAGGGCGAGACCGTCTACTGCCACCTTACGGAAGAACAATTGAGGACCATCCACAAGCGTTTTGGCCACCCCTTAGCAGGTCGATTTGCTGCTGTTCTTAAAAGGGCCGAGCACGAATTTAAGCGAGATTTGCTTTATAACATCCAAAAGTTTTGCCACCATTGCCAAGTATTCGGACGCTCTCCGGGGAGGTTTAGTATTAGACTCAAGGACGATACTGACTTTAATGATACGGTATACGTAGACGTAATGCACTTTAACGGCAAGAACGTATTACACGTCGTTTGCGATTCTACTAATTTTCAAGCCGCCACCTTTCTTAAAAGCATATCCGCATAACACTTACTTAAGAGATTCAGTCGATGTTAGGTCAATACCTACGTCGGACCTTTTACAAACGTAATGCACGATCCCGGAACCAACTTTAATTCGGCAACGTTCCGAGGCTACCTCAAAGGTATTAGCAGCACCTTAAAGCAGATGCTTATAAAAGCCTATCACAGCGTCGGGCTAGTGGAACGCTACCACGTCCTTGTACGACGCGCTTTTAAGATCGTCACAAAAGAGCTTCTAAAAGCCCTAAAGAAGGACCGGCTTTAAATAGCTATCAAAGCCATCAACGACACAGCTGGACTTAATAGCCTGGTTCTTATACTCCTCGTTTTTAAGACCCTATCGAGGCTGACGGAGCAAGATCGACCTGCCGCGTCTACTCAAGAGCGTGCTGCTGCCATCAACAAAGCTATGAAGGAAGTACGAAAATGCTACGCTGCGAAACAAGTTAAGGACGCGCTCAAAAAGAAGAATGGCCCAATTACGGAGCATACCTTAGACCTCCTTATTAGCTCACGGGTGCTAATGTGGCGGGAAAACCAAGGGTGAAAGGGCCCTTTTCAGCTGCTTAGCAGGCAAGGGCACACGTGCACAGTGGCTTATCCGAAGCTTACGAAATTCAAGTCAACCTTAATAAAACTTTATTACTCTGAAGTTGAAAAGCTGCTAAAAGAGTTGCAAGTACTTAAAGTAAAAGTAAAAGAAGAAGTAAAAGAAAAAGTAGAAGATGATTAAAGCGAAAGCGAAAAAGAGCTAGAAATACGAAATTCGCTTAAACCTTAACATTCGCTTAATCCACCGAAGTCGCTTAATCCAAGAAGCTCGCTAAGACTAACAAACAGCCCCTTTAACCCTCAACTTGCCAATCCTTAAAAGTCAATAATACTAATAGTCTAAATACTTTATTAGAAGTACGATCTTAATATCTCGACCGTGCCCGACGAAAAGGAAGGCGATTCTTACGTTCTATTCACCAAGGACTCCGAGGTGTTGATTACCGACAAGGAACGCCGGTGTGACGACCTTAAGCGATTACCTGAAGGAACTCACGGAAGCGCGGGGTTCACATGGGAGCTTAAGAGAATCTTAAAGTAATGACTTAGAATTAACAACTACCGAGTGTAGAGGTCGAAAGTAGCTGAGGTCTATATACACGAAAGTAAAAGCGCCAAGGACTCGTAAACCATAGTTCATAAATCAAAAGCGAGGAATAAGAGAATACGAAGAATACGAAAAGAAAAAGGAAAGAAGTAGCTTAGCGCATATAAGGTGCGTCCAAGAGACTTAGCGTATCGTTACACTACCTTCCCGTCCGAAAAAAGCTCGTCCTCGAGCGTTTATCTATTGCTTTATCACTACTTAAGTGATCGTAATCATCAACACCGTTCGAATAAGCTTTGATCTAATCGAAGAGCTTCGCGAGAGGGCCGAAGAGCTCTTTGTGTTTTAAGTAGAAGTCACGTACTTTAAAAGGAGCGTACATAAAGTCGAAAGCGGGGTACTAAGTAAGGTCAATATCGCGGCCGAGCTAAAAAGCGCAGTACTCGAAGTGCTTTTTAGTTTAGCGCACGGTTAAAATGTTCTTTACTTCGTACTTAAGTTCGCTAATAATATTAATCGGGTCAGGTTCAAGAATGATTTGCTCGAGGGTAAGGTTATTAAAAGCTTTTTGTAGCCGTCCGAGGTGAAAGACTAAGTGAACTTTTATTAACTCGAAGAGCTTGAGTTTGAAGCTGCTATAAACGTTGTCGATAACTTCGAACGGTCCGTTCGTAAGGTTATCGAGCTTCTTTGATAGTCGAGAAGTAAAGAACGAGCGCATATCTAACTAAACCTTATCATTGACGTCGAAGTTAACCGAGCGCTTTAATTTATTAGCTTGTTTGACTATGCGGTCTTAGGCGCGCTAAAGGTGCTCTTTAGCGAAGTTCCAAGCTCCGAAGTGGCGGTTAGCGTAAGCGCGAGCTTCGTCTTAATTAAGCTTGCGAGAAAAGGTTTAGTCGTCAAATCGTTCTAAGCTTTAATTCTAAGTAGTCCGGAAGGCGTAGCCGTGAATTACTTTAAAAGAGGAGAGGCCGCCGAAAGAGTCGTGAAGGAGCGTCAATTAAGCGAAGTCTATTATAAGAAAGAACTCGCTCCAATCGTTTTAATAATAGCTTACGAAAGGACGGAGGCGCTTCTGCAAATACTAATTGTAGATTTCGGTCTGACCGTTAGTCTCAAAGTGTGCGGCGGTGCTAAAGGTCAGTTTAATGCCGAAGATTTTATTAAATTCTTTCTAAAACTCAAACTAATATTAAGGTCCTTTATCAAAAGTCAGCGTTAAAAGAGCTTTAAAATACTTATAAATGTGGTAAATATAAAGCTTGGCGAAGCTTCTAGCGTCGATAGACTTGTGATAAAAGATCGAGATTGCTTACTTAAAGAAGCGGTCGATTATTATAAAGACGTTGTCGTAGCCGTGTTTGTCTTTATTAAAGCTATAAAAATCCATAATGACGTGCTCTTAAAAGCGCGAAAAGATCGAGAGAGGTTAAAGCAAGCTAAGTTTCTTATCGCAAGGCATTAAAGCTCGTTTGCAAGCGTAGCAGTTGCGGCAGTACTAATTGACGAATCTAGCTATACCGTGCTAGTAGTATTATGCTGCAAAAAGCTTGTAAGTTTTGCGAGAGCTAGGGTATGCCGTAAATACTTAGTCGTAGACTTCTCGGACGAGTAACGAGCGCAAGTTTTAAACGTCGAGAACTAATAAGCGGCCGTTATAAAGCAGCAAGTCGCTTTCCATAATGAGTTTGGCCCGTGAACCGTGGTTTACGGGTAAAGACTCAGCTCTAGAAGCTTGAATTCGAAGTGCTATAAAATTAAAAACGGTCCGATTAGCTTTTAAGACTTGGTTAATAACTCGGAATATCGGTGAGAGCTCCGCGATCTCTTCGATAATGACGGCGGTCTCCGAAAGCGTAAGTTAGCGTAGCTTTTCGATCAAGAGTCGTAGGTTAACGTTGTCGGCGCAAAGCAGCGTTTGCAAGCGTTAAGTACGCTTAAAGCTGTTTTAAGAAAAGAGCTCTTCGATGCGACGTGTCAGCGCGTCAGCTAAAAAGTTGTCTTTACTTGGTCTGTACGTGATGATAAAGTTGTAATCGAAAAAGAGCTTTGCTTAACGTGCTTAACGAGCGTTGAAAGTCTTAAAGGTTATAAAGTACTTTAAAGCCTTATGGTCGGTAATTACTTGAACTTAATAAAAGGAGCCGGCGAGTTCGGCGCGGAAGTTATTAAAAGAGCGTATAATAGCTAGCATCTCTTTATCGTAAACGACGTAGTTGAGCTTAACAAGAGCTATGGTTTTAAAGTAGTAGACGACTAGTAGCCAATCGGAACTATGCTTTTAGGAAAAGACTAAGGCGACTACGCCGTCGGAAGCGTCAATCTTTAATATACAAAGGAAGTTTTGATTATAATGCTATAAGATTAACGCAATAATCAAGGCGAGCTTTAAAAGGTCGAAGCTTCTTTGACATTGAGAATTGAATGAAAAAGAAACGTTAGCCTTAATCAAGTGCATTAAAAGCTTCGCGATCACGCCGTAATCTCGAATGAATCGGCGGTAAAAGTTGCAAAATCTAAAAAAGCTTTAGACGCCTTTGACGGTCGTAAGAAGCGCTCAATGCTTTATTATCGACGTCTTGTCCGGATCTACTTTTAAGCTTTCGATAAAAATAATAAAGCTTAAGTATTTTACCTTGGTTATGCTAAATTCGCATTTTTTAATATTAGCTTAAAGGCTAGCGTCGTCGAATCGTTAAAGGACTTAGCGAACGTGGTAAGCGTGCTCTAAAGAGTCGGAGGAGTAAATTAAAATATCGTTTAAATATGCCGTGCAAAAGATATTTAAAAAGTCGAAGAAAAGGTCATTCATATAGCGTTGGTAAATAACGGGTCTATTAGTTAGTCCGAATAAAAGAACCTTGCACTTGTAAGCACCGTAGCGTATCCTGAATGTTATGAGCTCTTTTAAAGCTAAGTCTATCCGTATTCTATAAAAGGCTTGCCGAATGTCGAGTTTCGTAAAGATTTTAGCTCTTAAAAGACGTGCGAAAGTCTTATCGATCAAAAGGAAAGGGTATCGATCTTTACGAGTAAAGTTGTTTAACGCGCGGAAGTCAATACAAAAGCGGAAGGAACCGTCTTGCTTCTTAGCAAACAAGACTAAAGCTACAAATAGCGCTGTTAAAAGTTCGATAAAACCTTTGTTAAGATTGTCGATAAAGTAAGCTTTAATAAGCTCTAGCTCAAGGATCGACATCTTGTATAATAATGAGTACCGAAGCGCCTTTTCCCCCTTTTCGAAAAGCTCGATTTTATAATCGTAAGGCCTGTATAATGCTAGCACGTTGCTAACGGCTTTAGAAAACACGTATACGTAATCGAAGTATTCGAGAAAGATAAAAGGGTCGTTAATGAGCTCTAACAGTTCCGCTGCAAAGTCAATAGCAGAGATAAAGCCGTTAGTAAAGCGTGTTAGCGATGCTTGATAATCAGCCTAAGTAAAAGCAATCGTCTAACGCTTAAAGATCAAGCAATCGAGCTCGTAAAAAGACGTAAAGAACAATTCTACGTCTTTTTAACGAGCGATTATATAAAAAGCGTATCCGGAAACGCCGTTAATTTTAAGGTTTTTATTAATTTTGTACTTAGATGTTTAGCGAGAGCGTTTAACGAGTAAAAGAAGTTCTACGAAAGCGATGTCGGTTGACACAAGCTTACGGTTCATCTAAGACATTAATTTAACGTAATCTTTAAAAAAAGTGTTTTTCGTAAAGCGAAAGAGTGACGGCTCTACGAGAAAGTGAATAGAAAAAAGAGGTTCAACGATCTTAGAAAAAGAAGCGAAGAGAAGACGATTCCGAAAAGAAAGAAGTGATTTAGCGACTATTGTTGCTGCTTAATCCGCCCGTGAACTATAGTTCACGAATAAATTAGCGTCGTAAGCTCTTTAAAAGCGGTCTAAAGCTCGATTACGCTTGTTAGCGTCGTGTTAATGACGAGCGTTTACTTTACGCTAGTTAAAGTGTATAATCTCAATAGGTTTAGCGTAAGTGGCGGTCGAAAGGTTAAAACGAAGCTAATAGAGCTTGCGGCAAGCGCAGTTAAAAAGAATCTAGTGCTTAGCTAGCTATGCTCGTCCAAGAATCACGCTGTGATTCTTAAGGTTGATGATAAGAAAAAGAGTAAAAGATTAAACGCGCTTGTCAACCGTAAAGTTGAAAAGTGCAAAATGTGAGATAATGGCTCTACGAGCTCCATTGTATAACTTGACAAGGAATAAGGCCGAGAAGGGTTGAATTAAAAGTTTAAGAAAGAAAAAAAGCGATTTGAGTAGCGCTAAGTCAATCAGCGCGTATTTATTAGCTCTTGAATCGAATAAAGCAGATACCTTATACGAAAAGCCATTCTTAGTAAAGGTGACGGGTATAGTTATAGCTTTGCCACTAAAAAGCTTCGTAAGGTCGAGGTATCGCATATCTCGAAGCTAGCTTAAAAAAGAGGCTTTGCTTAAGCCTCGACGTTTCCTTTATTGTCGAAAGCGTCGGGGTCAGCAAAAAGGAGCTCTTAATGATCTTTAAAAGCGTCGAAGTAGGGCCTATCGTCCGAGTCATCCGAATAAGGGCCGTATTCGGGTCTAGCGCCGTATTCTATCTCGTTGACTAAGTGGTAGCGAAAGAGCTTCGGCGTATTCGGGTCTTTGCGAAACGATCTAAGGGTTTTGATTGCTGACCTAAGGGCGTTTCCGGGAAAAGAGAATTTGTTAAATCGATTAGATCGATTTGCACCAGCGCCAAGGCTATTAAAAGTTTAGCGCTAAAAGGTAAAGAAAGAGACGAGAGCTGAGCTACCTTGGCGGTTCTCGTAATAAGTAATTTGCTTGACCGCTACTCTTTAAGCCGAGCGAGATTCGGTACGAGCTCTACTGTGAAAGCTCTTCGCGAATTGAATATTATACTTAGCCTGTAAAGCATCGTAAAGCCTTGCAGACGCGTATTGGCCAGCAGCCAATTGTTGGACGGCGGTCTAAAAGTCCTTGAAAGTTATAGTCTTAGCAAATTCCAAATAAAGCTGGTCGCGCAGCGTTTTAATGATCTTAAAACGCAAAGCCTTACGTAATCGGTCCTCGTCCTTGATTTCGGCGGTAGCGGCAAGCTCCGAGAAAACAAGGTAAAAGTCTTAAAATTGCTAGTTAAGCCTCATATAAAGTTTTTCGAATTCAATTGACGCTTTGGCCTTTTCAGCGGAGTCGTTCAAGAACTCGAAAGCGATCTGAACGAATTCCGAGGCGGTTACAAGGTTGCTACGATCCATGACCAAAAAGGCCAAGAACAAGTGGGCTATTCCTTCGGTTTGGTCAAAGACGTAGTTCTTGCGTTAGCGTTCTATAAAAAAGTATTTTTCGAAAACTTCTAAGTTGTCAAGGACGCGGGCTTGCTAGTGACGTGCTCGGTAGCTTACGCCGTCTAAGAGCTTCTGTTCAAGGTTAAAGATCCGCTCGATACGAACGCGACCTTGGGAAGCTAAAAAAGAAGCTCTAAAAGTGTTAAACTTAGCTGGAATGCGAAGGTTGATTAGCCTGTGAAGAGAAGGTGGTTCATCGTCGTCGGCGAAGAAGCGGCGAAGGTTAGCGGTTCCATAAGTAAAAGGAATGGCCTAAGAGACCGAGGGCCTGTATAGCTCCTTGCCTTTGGAATTATCTTCAAAAGAAACTTAAAGAGGCTCTGACGGGCGTTCCGTAGTTGGCAAGACCGCCTAGAGCTAGTCCAGTTCCTTTCGAGCTCGACGGGCCTTTTTTTCAGCCCTTTCGGCGAAGGTTTTTTATTCGCTAGCGCTTTTATCGAGCTCTTCGTTACGGGTTTTCATGTCTGCGAAGAGCTTTCTAAGCTCAACGGCCTTTCGTTAAGATTAAAAGAGAGCTTGGTGTTGAGCCAAAGCTTCCTCGAGGTTGATAAAGGCCGAAGGATCATTTTCATCGTCTTGCTCACTAATAGCTTCTTCTTAAGTAAAAAGAACTGCTGGTTGAGCCGTAAAAGAGGAGGAAGGAGCTGCTAAAGCAGCTTTAAAAGGTGTGCGAAGGATTTTGCTCGCAGGGCGAAGGTTGCTGTATTGTGTAAGTGCTATCCTTTAAGTTGTACTTAGAATAAGCCTTCTCGTAACCGTTAGAGTCGTCTGAATGTTTTTTAACGTCCAACTATTAAGGAATTCTAAAGAAGAAGAATATTATTAAAGCCGTTCCCGGCGGAGTAAAGTAGTTGTTGATAATGTGACGACCTTAAGCGATTACTTAAAAAAACTCACAAAAGCGCGGAGTTCATATAAGAGCTCAAGAGAATCTTAAAGTAATGACTTAGAATCAACAACTACCGAGTGTAAAGGTCGAAGGTAGCTGAGGTCTATATACACGAAAGTAGAAGCGCCAAGGACTCGTGAACTATGGTTCATAGGTCAAAAGCGGGGAATAAGAGAATACGAAGAATACGAAGGGAAAAAGGAAGGAAGTAGCTTGGCGCATGTGAGGTGCGTCCAAGAGACCTGGCGTGTCGTCACAGCCGGGACTATAAGCTCTTAGCTAAGCTACGAGCCGAAGGAATCATCAAGAGCCCCGGAGCACTATTTCAAGAGTCTAAAGCAAAGGAATTAGCTAGATTGATAGCCTAAAGCATCCTTTAAGTGATCCCGGGCATCGACCCACGCGCTAAGAGCGCCAAGATCTTCGGATCTAGGTTTGTTAATAAGATCAAAGGCAAAGGAACACTTACGCTATACGAAAAGTCTCGTATAATAGTCTAAGCCTTCTAAGACAAAGGCAAAACGAAGGTACTCACCGAGTCACTTACGGTGCAGCGAGCGGGCCAAAGACTTTGTTATGCTTTAGCTCCCTCTTTGATAAAGGATTACAAGTGTCAGGTCTATAACAAAGATATCACTCAGGCTTACACTCAGTTAAGCACGAAGCTTATCCGAATAATCGTCGTGCGACTACTTAAAAAGATCACTTATCGATTCCCCCCCGGCACTTTGTTCTTTATAACTAGCCTTTTGTATAAGATCCCCGAAGCAAAAACGCATTAGTATAAGCGTTTTTCAAAGCATTTCACGGACAACTTCGAGATGAGGCAATCGAGCTTTGATTCTTGCCTCTTTATATTAACCAACAAAGATCAGCTAAGAATAGCTGCCTTATAAACGGATGATGTTCTTATAGTTGTTAATCCAGCTATAAGAGCAAAAGAAGAGAAAGAGCTGGTCAAATCTAAGCTGAAGAGCAAGGAAATAGAGACTCTTACACACGCCGAGCTAATGATTTTCAATAGATGCAAGCTATCCTTGGATAAGAAAGGGTTCGGACTGTCAGTTAGGCAAAAAGGGCAAGGTGAAAGGCTTACAGTGATCAAGCTCGATTCAACCATACGGGCTAAAGAGTACTTGGAGCAACGTGCCCGAAGGGCGTATTTGGCTACCATTTGCTACTTAAAGGCATTTTACGCTTTATCGATAGCCGCCTAGCATCAGGAATCGAAGGACGAGGACTACAAAGCCCTTAATAAGGTGATCTAATAGCTGATCGATCACCCAACTCGAGGGATCTATTACGTGTCTTTAGACCTGAAGATTGCGAAGCTCTTTGTGTTCGTAGACGGAGCGTTTGCTAATAACGCTAACTTTAGCTCCTAGATCGGTTTCGTAGCTATCCTTGGCAATAAGGCTCACGTAAGTGAGAACGAGTTCACTTTGACGGGTAATATCTTACATTAAGTGTCATAGAAGTGCAAGAGGGTGATAAGAGCAGTATTAGCTTTTAAGCTATACGCGATATCTTTAAGTATCGATATAGCTATTGCTATATCGACTACCTTTGCTTAAATCACGGCTCAGCTAGGAATCTTTAACTTCTCCGTAGTCGTGTGCACTGACTCTTACTCGCTTTACGAATATATAGTAAAACTAGGGACCATTAAAGAGAAGCGTCTAATAATCGATATTATAGCTATTCGAGAGTTATACGAAAGGCGAGAGCTCTTTAAGGTACGCTGGATCGGAGGCAAATCTAACCCTGCTGACGCTATGACCAAAATCGGGGCCAATATCTCTTTGCAAAAGCTAGTTTTGACTAATACTTTGAAGGTGCAAGTCGATGGATAAGTGGAAAGGCCGTTATAGAAGGAAGAAGGAGATTGTTTTTCCTTTATTTAATTACCTCTTTTTTTTTTTCGGTCGATATAGTAGTTAGCAAAGCACTATTTGCTAAAGAGAAAGTTGCCGGTGTCGGTATATCTATATCGACCTTAGCTAGTAGTAGTAGTAGTAGTAGTAGTTGGGGAAGCTCACCCGTGAACCATGGTTCACGGGCCACTTGGCATGCCTCGCTTAGCATATCAGCAGTCAAGGGACCCTTAACTTGATAAGTAAATCTATTAGCTAGCTAGTGCACGTGATTCCTTCTAATCGTATAGAAGGAATCAGCTCCCTTGAGCCTTGGGGAGCAGACAGAATTCAGATACCTTATCAACCGAGTGTTTTGCAATTGCAAGTACTTTGACGACCGTTACGACCTTACGAATATATATTCCTAATCGCTTGGAAGCAATCCAACACTGATCAGTAGTTGATTTACTACTAAGTGATCAATCATAAAGAAGCTAAGAATACTTTATAGCGAAGATACTTTTCATTACGATACCTCCTTCCTTTTACAACGGAAGAGCGATTCCGTACCAAGTCGCTTCTTATACTACCGATTTTCCCTTATTCCTACGGAAAAGTGATTCCGAACCAAGTCACTTTTATACAACCTTCAAAGCTGTAGAGCCGCGCCTGCTATACATAGCAAACCCAACCAACACGATCGATCTACGTACGAGCAGATAACAACTATGGCCGATCGAGCAACTAGACCTTCAAGTGAGGAGTCCAGCCGACAAAAAGCAGTAAGGTATTATACCCCTCGAGTCTCATCACCATTCACGGAACCCTTAGCTATTCAGCTAAAAGGACCATTATACCCAAGACTCCCAAGCCTCTCGGAAAGACCAGACGACGAGATGTCGAGCATCTTATTTGACTTAAACGAGCTATTATACGCAAGGCTAGACAGTGAGATCACGGCCCGAGCGATGGTGAACGACTTCTTAGATGCGAAGTGTAAAGGGCTAAGGGATTACGACTTATAGAGCTTATTCCGGCACGCTTTCTCACGCTAGGATTGGACCAGTTTTATAATAACGGGGGACAATACGGGACGAAGCCTTAAGTTTGCTACCTTTATTAGCCTTAGGGAACACTTGCTGTCCAAAGGCGTGTGGTGCCCCTTAAAGCAAAGGGGCTACGCCAATAGGATGGTCAAGCTCTTGAACGACGAGCAGCAACACTAATGGACCCTTCAAGAAATAAAGGAGCAGCAAGCAGCACCCTTAGGCCTCGATTCAAGGTGGACCGCCGAAAACCTTACGGACGACGAGGATAATACGCCTCAACCATCTCTACCACCCTTACGAAGTCCAAAAGGGAAGGAAAAAGAGGTATTAAGGAAGAAGGGGGAAGAGATTCGGAGGTTACGCGAGGAATTTGCGAAAGAGAAGAGAAATATAGAGCAAAATATAAAGGTGATAGCAAGGCAAATGGCGGAGTTACAGACTTACGCTATATAATCTAACGAAAGGCTACGACGAAGCACTTCAGCGTACTCGACGCCCTTAATTCAGCAACCGCTACGCAATACGCTAATCATATAAGAGCTAAAATCACCTTAGCGGCCCTTAAACCTCTTTCTCAAGAGCTACAACCGGGTTTCCTAAAATCCAAGGCCGAATAGCAATAATAACGGCCCCGAAAACATAATCGAGCTTGACAATACGCAAAGCAATAGCAGCTATACGCCAAAAGAAGACCCGCCAAAACCTAAGAGCATTCCGGATAAAATCAGCTTTCACTAAGGACAGCGTGCAGATTTCCGTGCCCAACTTTAACAACCCGAAGGGGAGATCTAGCACCTTCGGACGTATCGACAAGCTCCTTAGATCCTTTAACAAGCTACGTATCGACAAGAGGGATACTAAGGGTATAAGGATCGCTAAGAGCGCGCTTAAAGGTACGGATATCATCAAGCTGGAGCCTTAACCGGTAACTCGAATAGCCTTGGCGATCCTGACGATGACCGACGAGAAGGAAACGGAAGAGATTGGCAAGGAGATCGAGGCTACGAGCACGGAGGAGGTAAGAACGGCCCTCTTGGACTATTAAAGGGATTCGGAAACGGACTCTTAAAGGACCCCGGATTCGGAAATAAGCTTCTTAAAGACCTTAAAAGAGGACGGACCACCGGCAACTATATCGGTAACCTTTTACCGATCAGACCATTAGCTAAGCAAAGCACGCTTGCGTACGGCACTCTAAGCGCTTCTGACGATGATGGAGACGATTTCCTTAAGCTAAGGGCAGCAGACCCTCACCTAAGAGCGAAGGAATTAGCTTTGTTCGCGCGAAGCTTTCTTAAGGAGCTAAAGTATTCAAGACCCGACGATGACTTCAAGACTCAATTAGGAATTTTTGCTGATTAGGCAAGTCGATACGGTTTGACCTCCGAAGACTACTTAGCGGCGTTCCCGATTATGCTCACAAGGGAGGCTATAACCTTTTATTATAATCACGTTATCAAAGCCAGACTTCCGACTTTCAAAGCAAACGCTATTACAGTAAAGGACCACTTCGAGATTGACCACCGGCGGCAAGCAAAATACGACCGCTAAAAGGAAATTTCGCTAGATTTGATCAAGAAAGAGAATCTAAGGACCTCGCTTAGCGAGTGCTTTGAGAAGCTCGCTAAAGAGCTTAAAGGGATTTAAGGCTTTTTACGACCAAGTTTGAAAGATGATCGAAGTCTTGCTAACAAGCTGTATTTAGCTTGTAAAAACGTGCCAGAGATTACGATTGCACGAATGAACCTTGCTTTTACCTTTACCGCCGCAGTTGCCGATATTCGCAAGGCTATTGCGTTTGCAACTAAGACCTCCCGACCTCTTGCTAAAGCGAGTAAAGCTTACGCGAGCTTTAACGAGCCACACGATCATACCTGCTCTTAGCACAACACTTCAAAGGCTGACTCCGATTTAGACGAAGAATACGAATGCTTTATTTAAAACCGCTAATACTTTGGAGGTAAGAAAGCTGCCAAGGCTACTAAAGGTGAAAAAAGGTGTTTTGTTTGCAAAAAGCCAGGTTGCTAAAGCACCAACCACACCCCCGACGAAAGGAAAGCATCCGTCGCCAAGTTCCAGGCCTTTAAAGACGCAAAAAAGGTGACGAGAAGCAAATTTTCTTAATACGTGGCGTCGATCGAAGGCTGGCTACTTGTATCTACAAAAGAATTCGATCAGTTTATCGCAAGCTTACTAGACGAGCCACCCGAATCGGGCAGCTACGCTAATATATCGGAAGGTTTTGTGACTACCTACGGCACCTTTGACGCTGACGAGGTATACAAACAGCTGGAGATTCAGACGGCATTCCACGCCTTTACTAGCTAAGTAGAGACCTAAAAGATGCTCGGGCAAGATCCGCGTATGCTCGCGGGTAAGGCAAAGACTTATATAGCCTCTAGGTACTTTGAAAACGTATTCATAAGCCTTATGATTGACAGCGGAGCAGCCAATTTCTCTACCGCTAGCTTGCCCTAGCTACGAGCACTCCAAAAGAAGTACCCCGAGGTCCAATTGGATATATCCCGGGCAAGGGAGAAGTCCGTCAAATACGGCATCGGCTCTGCCACTTCTATTGGAGCAGTTACCTTAGATACCCCTTTAGGTCAAGTAGAGTTCTACGTTGTAAAGAGCGACGTACCCTTTTTACTCTTATTAGCTGATATAAATAAGCATAAAGTGATCTTAGATAACTTGCGGAACGTACTAGTCTAAAGGAAAAGGGAAATACTAATAATAAGGATGTTTGGGCACGTATGGATGCTATTAAGTAAAAAGCACGCTGCTACCTATTATAATACCGAGGGCGAGACCGTTTACTGCCACCTTACGGAAGAACAATTGAGGACTATCCACAAGCGTTTTGGCCACCCCTCAGCAGGTCGATTTGCTGCTGTTCTTAAAAGGGCCGAGCACGAATTTAAGCGAGATTTGCTTTATAATATCTAAAAGTTTTGCTATTATTGCTAAGTATTCGGACGCTCTTCGAGGAGGTTTAGTATTAGACTCAAGGACGATACTGATTTTAATAATACGGTATACGTGGACGTAATGCATTTTGACGGCAAGAACGTATTACACGTCGTTTGCGATTTTATTAATTTTCAAGCCGCTACTTTCTTTAAAAGCATGTCCGCACAGCACTTACTTAAAGGATTCAGTCGATGTTAGGTCAATACTTACGTCGGACCCTTTACAAACGTAATGCACGATCCCGGAACCAACTTTAATTCGGCAACGTTCCGAGGCTACTTCAAAGGTATTGGCAGCACCTTAAGGCAGATACTTGTAAAAGCTTATTATAGCGTCGGGCTAGTGGAACGCTACTACGTCCTTGTGCGACGCGCTTTTAAGATCGTTACAAAGGAGCTTCCAAAAGCCTTAAGGGAAGACCGGCTTCAAATGGCTATCAAAGCTATCAACGACACAGCTAAACCTAATGGCCTGGTTCCTATATTCCTCGTTTTTGGGACCTTACCGAGGCTAACGGAGCAAGATCGACTTGCCGCGTTTACTTAAGAGCGTGTTGCTGCTATTAACAAGGCTATAAGGGAAGTACGAAAATGCCACGCTGCAAGGCAGGTTAAAGACGCGCTCAAGAGGAGGAATGGCCTAATTACGAAGCATACCTTAGACCTCTTTATTAGCTCACGGGTGCTGGTATGGCGGGAAAACCAAGGGTGGAAGGGCCCTTTTCAGCTGCTTGGCAGGCAGGGGCACACGTGCATAATGGCTTGTCCGAGGCCTACGGAATTCAGGTCAACCTCAGTAAAACCTTATTACTTTGAAGTTGAAAAGCTGCCAAAGGAGTTGCAGGTACTTGAGGTAGAGGTGGAAGAAGAGGTGGAAGAAGAGGTGGAAGATGATTAGAGCGAAAGCGAAAAAGAGCTGGAAATACGAAATTCGCTTAAACCTTAATATTCGCTTAATCTACCGAGATCGCTTAATTTAAGAAGCTCGCTAAGACTAACAAATAGCCTCCTTAACCCTTAACTTGCTAATCCCTAGAAGTTAACAATACTAATGGTCCAGATACTTTATTAAAAGTACGATCTTAGTATTTCGACCGTGCTTAACGAAGAGGAAAGCGATTCTTACGTTCTATTTACCAAGGACTCCGAGGTGTTGATTACCGATAAGGAACGCCGGGACTATGAGCTCTTAGCTAAGCTACGAGCCGAGGGAATCATTAAGAGCCTCGGGGCACCATTTCAAGAGTCTAGAGCAAAGGAATTAGCTAGATTGATGGCTTAAAGCATTCTTTAAGTGATCCCGAGCATCGACTTACGCGCTAAAGGCGCTAAGATCTTCGGATCTAAGTTTATTGATAAAATCAAGGGCAAGGGAACACTTACGCTATACGAGAAGTTTCGTATAATGGTCTAAGCCTTTTAGGACAAAGGCAAAACGAAGGTACTCACCGAGTTACTTACGGTACAGCGAGCGGGCTAAAGACTTTGTTGTGCTCTGGCTTCTTCTTTAATAAAGGACTACGAGTGTCAAGTCTATGGCAAAGATATCACTTAAGCTTACACTTAGTCAAGCACGAAGCTTATCTGAATAATCGTCGTGCGACTACTTAAAGAGATCACTTATCGATTCCTCTTCGGCACTTTGTTTCTTATGATTGGCCTTTTGTATAAGATCCTCGAAGCAAGAACGCATTAGTATAAGCGTTTTTCAAGGCATTTCACGGACAACCTCGGGATAAAGCAATCGAGCTTTGATTCTTGCTTCTTTATGTCAACTAATAAAGATCAATTAAGAATAGCTGCCTTATAAACGGATGATATTCTTATAGTTATCAATCCAGCTATAAGAGCAAAGGAAGAAAAAGAGCTGGTCAAATCCAAGCTAAGGAGCAAGGAAATAAAGACTTTTATACACGCCGAGCCAATGATTTTCAATGGATGCAAGCTATCTTTAAATAAAAAAGGGTTCGGACTGTTAGTTGGGCAAAAAGGGCAGGGTGAAAGGCTTGCAATGATCAAGCTCGATTCAGCTATACGAGCTAAAGAGTACTTAAAGCAACGTGCCCGAGAGGCGTATTTAGCTACCATTTGCTACCCAGAGGCATCTTGCGCTTTATCGATAGCCGCCTAGCACTAGGAACCGAAGGACGAGGACTATAAAGCCTTTAATAAAGTGATCCAGTGGCTAATCGATCACCCAACTCGAAAGATCTATTACGTGCTCTTAGACTTAAAGACTGCGAAGCTCTTTGTGTTCGTAGACGGAGCGTTTGCTAACAACGCTAACCTCAGCTCTTAGATCGGTTTCGTAGCTATCCTTGGCAATAAAGCTCACGTAAGTAAAAACGAGTTCACTTTAACGGGTAATATCTTACATTAGGTGTCATAGAAGTGCAAGAGGGTGACAAGAGCAGTATTAGCCTTTGAGCTATACGCGATGTCCTTAAGTATCGATATGGCCATTGCTATATCGACTACCTTTGCTTAAATCACGGCTTAGCTAAGAATCCTTAACTTCTTCGTAGTCGTGTGCATTGACTCTTACTCGCTTTACGAATGCATGGTAAAACTGGGGACCATTAAGGAAAAGCGTTTAATGATCGATATTATAGCTATTCGAAAGTCATACGAAAGGCGAGAGCTTTCTAAAGTACGCTAGATCGGAGGCAAATCTAACCCTGCTGACGCCATAACTAAAATCGGGGCCAATATCTCTTTGCAAGAGCTAGTTTTGACTAATACCTTGAAGGTGCAAGTCGATGGATGGGTGGAAAGGCCGCTGTAGAAGGAAGAGGGAGATTGTTTTTCCTTTATTTAATTACCTCCTTTTTTTTTTTTCGGTCGATATGGTAGTTGGCAAAGCACTATTTGCTAAAGAGAGAGTTGCCGGTGTCGGTATATCCATATCGACCTTAGCTAGTAATAGTAGTAGTAGTAGTAGTAGTTGGGGAAGCTCACCCGTGAACCATGGTTCACGGGCCACTTGGCATGCCTCGCTTAGCATGTCAGCAGTCAGGGGACCCCTAACTTGACAAGTAAATCTATTAGCTAGCTAGTGCACGTGATTCCTTCTAATCGTATAAAAGGAATCAGCTCCCTTGAGCCTTGGGGAGCAGACAGAATTCAAATACCTTATCAACCGAGTGTTTTGCAATTGCAAGTACTTTGACGACCGTTACGACCTTACGAATATATATTCCCAATCGCTTGGAAGCAATCTAACATAAGAGCATTTAAAGCTTTTTACGATTAAGTTTAAAAGATGATCGAAGTCTTACTAATAAGCTATATTTAGCTTATAAAAACGTGCTAAAGACTACGATTATATAAATGAATCTTGCTTTTACTTTTACCGCGGCAGTTGCTAATATTCGTCGAGCAATTGCTTTTGCAATTAAAACCTTTCGACTTTTCGTTAAAGCTAAAGCTTACGCGAGCTTTAGCGAGCTATACGATTACATTTGCTTTCATAACACCTTAAAAGTTGACTCCGATTTAAACGAAAAATACGAATGCTTTATTTAAAACCGCTAATACTTCGGAAGTAAAAAAGCTACTAAAGCTATTAAAAGTGAAAAAAAGTGTTTTATTTGTAAAAAGCTAAGTTGCTAAAGCATTAACTACACTTTCGATGAAAGAAAAGCATCCGTCGCCAAGTTCTAAGCTTTTAAAAACGCAAAAAAAGTAACGAAAAGCAAATTCTTTTAATATATAATATCGATTAAAAGCGTGCTACTTGTATTTACGAAAGAATTCGATCAGTTTATCGCAAGCTTATTAGACGAGCCGCTCGAATCGAGCAGCTACGCTAATATATCGAAAGATTTTATAACTACTTACGGTACTTTTAACGGTAACGAAGTATATAAACAGCTGGAAATTCAAACGGCATTCTACGCTTTTATTAGTTAAATCGAGACTTAAAACATGCTCGCGAGCAAAGCAAAGACTTATATAGCTTTTAAGTACTTTAAAAACGTATTTATAAGCCTTATGATTAATAGCGAAGCAGCTAATTTCTTTATCGCTAGCTTGCTTTAGCTACGAGCATTCTAAAAAAGGTATTCCGAAATCTAATTAGATATATCTTAAGCAAAAAAGAAATCCGTTAAATACAGCATCGGCTCTATTACTTTTATTAAAGCAATTACTTTAAATACCCTTTTAAGTCAAGTAGAGTTCTACATTATAAAGAGCGACGTACTTTTCTTATTCTTATTAGCTAATATAAATAAGCATAAAGTGATTTTAAATAACTTGCGAAACGTGCTAGTTCAAAAGAAAAAAAAAATATTAATAATAAAAATGTTTAAGCACGTATAAATGCTATTAAATAAAGAGCACGCTGCTACTTATTATAATACCGAAAGCGAGACCGTTTATTGCTACTTTACAAAAAAACAATTAAAGACCATTTATAAGCGTTTTGGCCACTCTTTAGCAAATCGATTTGCTGCTATTCTTAAGAGGGCCGAGCACGAATTTAAGCGAAATTTGCTTTATAATATCTAAAAGTTTTGCTATTATTATTAAGTATTCGAACGCTCTTCGAAAAAGTTTAATATCAAACTTAAAAACGATATTAACTTTAATAATACGGTATACGTGGACGTAATGCACTTTAACGGCAAAAACGTATTATACGTCGTTTACGATTTTATTAATTTTTAAGCCGCTATCTTCTTTAAAAGCATATCCGCATAATACTTATTTAAAAGATTCAATCGATGTTAAGTTAATACTTACGTCGGACCCTTTACAAACGTAATACACGATCCCGGAACCAACTTTAATTCAGCAATGTTCCGAAGCTACTTTAAAAGTATTAACAGCATCTTAAAGCAAATGCTTATAGAAGCCCATTATAGCGTCGAGCTAATAAAACGCTATTACGTCCTTATGCGACGCGCTTTTAAGATCGTCACAAAAAAGCTTCTAAAAGCCTTAAAAGAGGACCGGCTTTAAATAGCTATTAAAGCTATCAACGATATAGCTAGACCTAATAGCTTAGTTTTTACACTCTTCGTTTTTAAAACCTTATTAAAGCTAACGGAGCAAGATCGACTTGCCGCGTCTACCCAAAAGCGTACTGTTATTATTAATAAGGCTATAAAGGAAGTACGAAAATACTACGCTGCGAAGCAAGTTAAGGACGCGCTCAAAAGGAAAAATAGCTTAATTACGAAGCATACCTTAGACCTCTTTATTAGCTTACGAATGCTCGTATAGCGGGAAAACCAAAAGTAAAAAGGCCTTTTTTAGCTGCTTAGCAAGCAAAAGCATACGTGCACAATAGCTTATCCGAAGCTTACGGAATTCAAGTCAACTTTAATAAAACTTTACTACTTTAAAGTTGAAAAGCTATTAAAAGAGTTGCAAGTACTTAAAGCAAAGGTAAAAAAGAAAGTAGAAAAAAAGATAAAAGATAATTAAAGCGAAGGCGAAAAAAAGCTAAAAATACGAAATTCGCTTAAACTTTAACATTCGCTTAATCTACCGAAGTCGCTTAATCTAAAAAGCTCGCTAAAATTAATAAACAGCCCCTTT